CATGGAACGCTGTTACCTTCCCATCAAGGTGGTCCCGATTTTTCTACTTGCATTTTTTATGTGCTTTCGAACTGCTAGGTCGGCAGAAGCTAGGACAAGTAACGGGAGCTCACCCCATTACGTGGTACTAGGGATTCGAACCGCTGAACTGCCAACCTTTCGATCGACAAGCTCAGTGTCTTAGCCATTGAGCCACCGCGTCCCATATTATTATAAAGGCATCCATATTATTCCTTAAGACCTTTGAACCTCATTCCCAAAAGTCGTCCTGACTCTCTGCCCACTTAGGAAGTGTGGCTTTACAACATGTCAAAGCCTGGCATGGCACTTGAGCCAACTGAGACTCCTCTTTACTTATTCTAGATTAAACATTAGAATAGTTGCATCACAATAGATTACCCTGTTTCTTTCCTTCTTTCCCTTTCTTTTCCTTCTTTCTTTCTTTCCTTCATTCCTTCCTTCCTTCCCTTTTTCCTTTCTTTCTCTCCTTTTCCCTTTCTCTGTCCCTTTCTCTCTTTCTTAATTTAAGTTAATACTTTAAGTTAATACTTTTCTTTATGTGTGTATTTCACATAGTGGAATAATGCTTCTCCCAACTCTGTAAACCATAAGAAGATAAAACTTTAAAGAATCAGTAACCCAATATGAGGGTATTTAAACAGATTTGAAAAGAAAGGAAAGGGGAAGAAAGGAAAGAAGAAAGGAAAGAAGAAAGAGAGAAAGAAAGAAAGAAAGAAAGAAAGAGAGAAAGAAAGAAAGAAAGAAAGAAAGAAAGAAAGAAAGAAAGAAAGAAGAAAGAAAGAAAGAAAGAAGGAAAGGAAGGAAGGAAAGAGAGGGAGAGAAAGAAAGAAAGAAAGGAAAGAAAGAAAGAAAAGAAAGAAAGAAAGAAAGAAAGAAAGAAAGAAAGAAAGAAAGAAGAAAGAAAAAGTAAGTAAGAAAGAAGAGATCTTTCCATTATAATTTAAGAAGCTTGAAGGGATGGAAGTTGGGAAGTTAATGTATTGTATGATTTATAGAGAAATTAAATTAGTCCTGGGTTTGATTGCAGTAATTGCTAAAATTATTGCAGCAGTAGATACATTATATGTATCATTATAAAGAAGATTTTAAGTGATGATTTTCAATAATTTTCAAACTGGGTAATTTTAAGCTTGCTCACCTTTTCTCAAAAACATCAAAGTGGCATGTTTTCACAGTCATAGCTTAATTACTGTATTTTGCAGACCTGTTGATAAAGCCTACAGGAATTCTAATTAGCTGTCATTTTGCATTGGTTTTCCCTTTGCGTTGCCTCTCCTCCTCAGCTTGTGTTCTTCAACAACTGAGTTTGTTCATTCAAGGACAATTGCAGCTGTTGAGCTACCTGGCTTGCTTCCAAAAGAGAAGAAACCTGACAACATTTTTTTCTTTTCTTTCGGAAACTGTTTTCTAACCCACTCCTAATGTCATCCAATCATCCCCACAGAAGCTCTGGGAAAGTTGCATCCAATGTGTGCAAATATGTTACCTTCCTGAACGTACGTTAATGATTAAATACTTAATTCTGTGCTGTACACAGAGTTCTAGAGGGATTTTAGAATGCCGTGGTTATTTTCCAGTTGAGATAACCCATTGTAGTCCTTTAACTTTGCAGCTGATTTTCCTTCATTCAAGGCAAAAAGGTGTTTTCAAAAGTTGTAGGTGCTTTTAGTCAATGACTATAGAAATTCTCAATCATCCACGTCATGGTTGTACCAAAGGTGCTTTTCGAAAGGTAATTGGACTTTCTTGGGTTTTTTTTCCCCTTGAAACCATTTTGCTTTTCATCCAGGAAGCTTCTTCAGTTCAGAAGTGGATGAGAAGTGAAATGTTTTTGAAGGAAAAGCGGACAGAAATAGCAATAGCACTTAGATGTCTATGGAAATTCTCAGTCATCCAGGTCATGGTTGTCCCAAAGGTGCTTTTTCAAGAAGCAACTGGACTTTCTGGTTTTTCTTTGAAAATGTTTCGCTTCTCATCCAAGAAGAGCTGAAGAAGCTTTTTGAATCAGAAGCGAAACATCTTCAAAGAAAAACCAGAAAGTCCAGTTGCTTTTTGAAAAAACACTTTTGGGACAATAGTACTTAGACTTGGAAATAGCACTGAGACTTATATGCCACTTCACAGTGCTTTATAGGCCTCTCTAAGCAGTTTAGAGAGTCAACATATTGCCCCTAACAATCTGGGTCCTCATTTTACCAACCTTGGAAGGATGGAAGGCTGAGTCAACTTTGAGCCGGTGAGAATCAAATTGCCAAATTGCAGGCAGCCGGCAGTCAGCAGAAGTAGCCTAACCACTGCGCCACTGTGCCATGTTATTAGCCCTTTTATGATGTCCCCTGATCAAGAGTTGATAAATTGAGCTAATATTTTTAATACAAGATAGGGCAATAACCCCATAATGAGGGGTTCAACATTCAGGACATCAACATGGATTCAATCTAGTCTCTCTCTTCTTGGTGTCAGCACTTCAACCTGCATTTACTCTAGTGCTGACATAAGAAGGAGAAGAGGGGGCAGCTGGCAAGAGAACGCTTGACTTCTCATCTACTTATTTTCCCTGAAGATAATGTCCCCTAGGAAATGAGTTGGGGGGGGACATTCCTGGGAGCTGAAGTACTAGATATGGGGAGAGTGATTTGGAGGAGGGCCAATGAGATGCCGAGAATTGGGGAACGGAAAGGGAAGGTCTGGGGTCAATAAGTCAGTGTTGGCTATGCCACGATCAGGGACAGATTGTTGTACTTAATAAAATGAAAGATTTCTTCAAAGATTACTTGTTTGGAAATGCAATTTATTTTAATTAAGACGACATCGAAACCTGACACTTACATTTTGAATATAGGCCATGCATTCTTTCACCAAACAGATTTGACAGTATTATGGCCTGCTGAATCACATCTTATCTTCATTTTGGTCACATATGTATCCAAAATTGCTTACATTACACTACAGTTGGAATCACCCTTTTACATCTTCACTTCCAAAATGTCAAGTTGTGACCATCCGTTTACTATATGATTACTCTGAAAGAATGTAATTACCAAGGGAATAAAGGTGCTTATGAATGCATGTGCATTTATTTTTAATAATATATGGGAGCAAAATGCCATTACCTATTTAAAAGGCTTACAACATTATCAGTCAAACCAGTAGCCTAGATTTATATCATTTGAAATTGAATGGAAGGGCTCTTCTGCCATCAATGTCTATTAAACTGATTGCCAGTTGACTTCCCATACCGAAAAGATGACATTTGATTGATCGGAATGTTACATTAGTCTGTCACCTGGTAGTTATTTTTATTATTTTTTTAGGTGTGTTTGGGGGTCAGAATGTGTTTGTGAGTTTTCTTTCTCTTTGAAATTAGCCAACGTGAATGAATGGCTAAGGGGAAAAAAACAACAACAACCCAATTTGTTCTGTCAAAATTCATTGATTGTACACACTGGGTGTTCCTGTATTTGGCAGATTTTATCTCATATATTAAAAATAATGTCCCGATCTACTGAATGGCTTATGTTTGACACTTCTAGTTGCAACACTAGCAGAAAGGAAATATAGCAGCTCCGTTGTAGCCTTTTAGTGACAGGTAATTACTAAGCAAAGGTGGCAACGATGCCCCAAGAGTCCTAAGCACCATAGTGTTAAATCAACTAAACAATAAAGGAGTAGCAACTATTAAATAATTAACCTAGTTTATGAGGGTAAAAAGGAAAGCCTTATCACTGCACACCTGCCTCACATTTAGGAACAGCAAGGGTAAAATAGAATTTTTATAAAAAGAACACCACTCCAGAGAATTTTGTTCCTTGAATTAGAATCACAGCAGGTTGGCAGTGTCAGGATGACTTTGGCTGATCTTGAAAAGCTAAGGAGGATTGGCTTCGATTAATACTTGTTGGGAAACTATTAGGAATTCTCTGAGATGAGGACTAGATTAGGAAGTTTAAAAAAGAACTGGAAAAAAGCATGGCAGATCATCTCTATACAGGAGCCCAATATATCCTAGAGCAAGGGTTGGCAACCCGCAGCTCTGGAGCCGCATGTGGCTCTTTCATCCTCTGCTGCGACTTCCTGTTGCTGGTTGGCTCCACAATTGATAGGGCTTTCAGTTAGGACAGGTAGAGGAAAAAGGACACAGCGCTAGGAGGAGACTATGATGGGGGAACCAGACTTCTGGTCGGCTCCAGAATTGAATGGAGGTTTCTGGCTAGGACCTTTGTGGCTCTTTGAGTGTTTAAGGTTGCCTACCCCTGTCCTAAAAGAATGCATCTTTCTTATCAGGAGTTAAGGTCAACTTATCTTAGAAAGAGGCATAAAAATATAAGCATTTCTCCTTCCATCACTGACACGAATTAAAACTAAAAGGGGCGATCCAAATGCTCCTCGATGAAGGGAAGCGTTCTGGGTCCAAAATGAAAAGCAGACAAGGAAATAAGGTGATGCCTGAACTTGACAATGCAGCATTGGCAGTGCTAAAATCAGGCAAGACTATTTAAGTAAACATACCTCTACTGCAGCTACCTCTCATAATCTTGAAGGCAGCAGCAAAGTATCCTTTGACTCAGAAAGGAAATATTTTTTCCCACACAAGTGGATATAATTCTCTCCCCGTGTAACTGTATATAATGCAATATATATAGTTGGTTGTGACTTTTCATCTGGTTCCTCAAGGTTATTCCTTCTGTCCAAGACAGAATCCTTCAAGGTTACAGGGAAAAGTGAAGCGAAATCAATAGAACGAGAGTTGATTCTTAGGGGATCATTTCACCAATTTGGAACTGAAAGCTTTAAGATTGATCTTTCGGAAACCAATTTTCCTAGAATCTGCAAGCACCCTATCTTACTCACGAGAAGGGTCTCTGCCATCCAGATAGCCGTTTCGTTCATTGCTATCCCAATTGGTTTCTTTTACTTAGTCGTATGCTGTCGGGTCTGCATGAGACTCAAGCATTACTACGTAACAATGGACACCTTACCTTGGCAGGCTTTAATGGGTGGGTTGCCACGAAGCAGTAGCTCTGCTATCTTGGAAGATCTATGGAAGATCATTTGCCACTATGGAAATGTAGGTAAACATGGTAGCATTTACTGTACATAAATGGATACAGAAAACAGAAATTCAAAAAATCAAGAGATTCCAAGAGATAGTTGCAGAGGTGGTTTTCAGCAGGTTCTGGAGAACTGATAGCGGAAATTTTGAGTAGTTCAGAGAACCGGTAGTAAAAAATCTGACTGGCCCCGCCCCCATCTATTCTCTGCCTCCCAAGTCCCAGCTGATTGGGAGGAAATGGGGATTTTGCAATAACCATCCCTTGGATTGGGGAGGGAATGGAGATTTTACAGTATCCTTCCCCTGCCATGCCCACCAAGCCATGCCACGCCCACCAAGCCACACCCACAGAACCGATAGTAACAAATTTTGAAACCCACCACTGGATAGTTGGACATGCAAAGGTTAAAATCTCGGGAGAATCGAAATATTACTCAAAACCTTTACCTCCTGCCTTCTCCTAACATTCAAGCCAATTCTCAGGCACCACCCAATTAAAGCAATTCAATTTAAACATTGCACTACTTTAAAAGGCTGTCAGAAAGCACTCCCAGTTGAATCTATCGCAGCAGTGAAGCAAGAGTTTGGCAAAGAAACTTCCTTCCCCTCAATTGGATTGTCATTTTTATCAAACACCTCTCTGTTTGAAAGCCTCTTGGGGTAGTGGACAATTTTAACAGTTTTGCAAATGGAGCAGGTATTCTTAAGAAAAAGGCTGTGTGAGTCCCAGATCAGGGATGTGTAATCAACTGGCAGCCACTTAGCTGGATATGAATGACCCCAAATGAAAGCAAATCTTCATGAATCAGCGGCAGTCAACCAAAAATGCCAGATCAAAGAAAGTTGACTATCTTATATCACATTAACTACTTATCTTTTTATGTGGTTTTTATTCTCTGTTCGCTATCCAGAGTCATGCGGAGTGGTGCCTAGAGGTGGAGCTCTCATCTCACAATCAGGCGGCTGTGAGTTCGATCCTAGGTAGAGGCAGATATTTCTCTCCCTGGGCCCAATGAGACTATATCTGCTGAACAAAACTCCGCATTGGCGAGAGGAAGGGCATCTGGCCATTAAACACGCTGCTAGCTCCATTCAGTTGCCCGGACTCCACCCTGCAAGGGATTATGAGGTCGTTAAAAGATGATGATGATTGTCATGTGTTTGACATGGGTAGCCATAGAAATTGAATTAAAATAAAATAACAAATAACTGGAGGAAGTCTCACTCCTCCAACCAGGCTGGATTTTAATCCAGTTCCAAAGTTTCCATAAGAGTTTACATGTTTATTGAGTTCATCCGAGTTGCTCTAGACCAGGGGTGTCAAACTCGATTTCATTGAGGGCTGCATTAGGGTTGTGTTTTACCTTGGGGGGGAGGGGCAGGGTAGGCATGGCCAGCTCAACGTTCCTTGTGTTGGGGTGCCTATGGTGGCCTGAGCACTCTACCAGCAAAAATGGGCTCCTGAGCTCTGTTTTTGGCTGTGACAGCCTCCAGCAACCCTCTGCCAGCGAAAACGGAGCTCCGGAGGGCCGTGGGCAGCCCTGCCAAGCTCCATTTTCGCTAGCAGAGATACCACAGGCTGGTCTTTTACTGTTTCCAGCCAGGTCTAAGCGTCCCGCGGGCCAGATCTGGTCCCCAGGCCTTGAGTTGGACACCCCTGCTCTAGACATGCATCTTTATGCTGGAGATTTGAAAACGGTTCACCCATTCCATTTCCCAATTCCATGAATAATTAGAAAAGGAAAATTTAATTATTTGCTTCTGTATCTAAAATCATAACTATCATATATGGCCTGTGATTTTTTTGCCCGATGGCCAGAAAATAAAGTTATATACGTGTTTTAATAGCTTGCTGGGATATAATCTATTCATTGCAGTTGAAATTCCTCCCCGCCAAATCACTCAAACGAGCTATAGTTTAACTTAGAAATGCTCTTAGGCTATAAACTCCACTGCTTTATCTCACCAGCAAACGAAACTTACTCAGTTTAATTCTCTGTCCCTTCAAACATTCGATCTGTCCCCAAACATGTCACTTTCCATTTCATTCATTGTTAAACTTATTCCAGAAGGAAATCATCTTCTTTCCTTGTCAGTTTGCATCTCATTAGTCCAGAACCTCTTTTTTTAAAAAAAAATCCTAATCTATACTATTTATATGTCTGTGAAAGTTGGGCCATAAGGAAGGCTGAGCGCCAAAGATTTGAGGCCTTTGAACTATGGTGCTGGAGGAGACTCCTGCGAGTCCCTTGGACTGCAAGGCAAGCCAACCAGTCAGTCCTAGAGGAGATCAACCCTGACTGCTCTTTAGAAGGCCAGATTCTGAAGAGGAAACTCAAATACTTTGGCCACCTAATGAGAAGGAAGGACTCACTGGAGAAGAGCCCAATGCTGGGAAAGATTGAGGGCAAAAGAAAAAGGGGACGGCAGGGGAGGAGATGGCTGGATGGAGTCACTGAAGCAGTCGGTGTGAGCTTAAATGGACTCCAGAGGATGGTGGAGGACAGGAAGGCCTGGAGGAATGTTGTCCATGGGGTCGCGATGGGTCGGACACAATTAACAACAACAATACTATTTGCATCAGTTTCCTTTTCCGAATCCATTTTCATTTCTACAGATCTAATAAAAGAGTGCACTACAATGGATGGCAAGGCCCCCTTAATATATTCTGTATAAAGTGATTAGAAATGGGGCTCGAAATAAGGAAGCCAGGAACCGAATAAGTTACTTTGTGAATAGGGGCTATTCAGAAAGTCAATGTGATAAACAATCTGTGGTAACTCCTACGCAAAGAGCAAAAGAAGCTCATGATCTGAGTCATGCCTGTACCAATATCTTCAAGTTCCTAACTTGTTAAAACTGGCTTGTCATGTCATATTTTTTTTTAATGTAATTGCTTGATTCCGTAATGATGCCTATAACCTAAGTCAGATTTCTTCCTACGAGAGGATTATAGCAAGATGACCAAGATGTTCCATGTCTTGTGCATTAACAACTTTTCTAAGAGTCACAGCTTTGTTATATCAGCATCACCTAGAAGAATCAGACTTAAAAGCTCAATTTCCCAATTGAAGTCCTATATAGAGCCAGTTCAGCATAGCTCAACAATTGTAATCATTCGTGAACAGATGAGCCTGGCAGCAATTATTAGAACTTTGCTAGGACCCAATTTGACTATACAATGTTTACTATATGGGACACAGAATAGAATAGAATAGAATAGAATAGAATAGAATAGAATAGAATAGAATAGAATAGAATAGAATAGAATAGAATAGAATAGAATTCAATTCTTTATTGGCCAAGTGTGATTGGACACACAAGGAATTTGTCTTGGTGCATACACTCTCATAAAAGAAAAGATACATTCATCAAGAATCATAAGGTACAACACTTAATGATAGTCATAGGGTACAAATAAGCAATCAGATCATATTAGGAAACAGTCAATATAAATCATAAATTAGATTAAATTAGAAGCTTTAATACATGGTAAAAAAGTTATGGACTAAATGGCCAATGGTAAGAGGTACTGTAAGATATATTTCAGCAACATATGAATTGTATAATAGCCACATCTCCATAATTCTATTCAATTAGTCTACTCTATGCATGTATCTACTCCATTGTACAGTGTATCCTATTATATTTAAAGTAAATTTGCTTTCTGGCTTTTTCCACATAGAGATTATGTTTGGAAAATACAAAATGACAACATTTCTTTGACACCATGCTGTTCAGGGATGGATCTATTTTCCACAGTGGTGACCAACAGCAATCAAGAAAAAAATGTGTCCATTATTTTTGGAAGATTTTCCATTCCTATGTGGCTACATTAAAAACAGCTGAGACCCCATAGCTAATAGACTGATGGATGCTCCCAGCAAGAATGATTCCATGGAGAATTTACTATCTTAGAAGAATATTTCCCTTCTTATCAATCACCCTGATTGTGTTTTTTTCAAAGCAGGATGATGATAGTTCTCAAAGCACAAGACTTTTACTCATTGCTACAAAACAGGCGGTAAGCTTCAGAATCAATTTCAGTGTGTTTTGACACTAAACAGGAGCCAACAGGCCAACACATATTCAAATATTTTTTTCCCCTCACAACTAGATAATCTCTTTGGATAACGAGACTACACTTCTAAAATGTAAAAAAAAAAGTCTTAAACTAATACAGATCTGACAGTTCACAATAGTCTGGGTTTTGACCGATGAATAAAAAACAGAATTCTTTCACAAAATCTGCAAAATGGTTGCAATATGAACAAATCCAAGAAATACAGGTTTTCAAATAAATACAAGAAAATATGTTCCTTACTTCTAGTTTGAAGAGCCTTTTTTCTGTAGTGAGAGAGAACTATTAGCGTCTCTCTTTCTTTCAGTAAACTGAATTTGTAGGGCAGAATATTGCACTCATTAATAGTGATTTAATTGATGGGGTTTTTGACTTGATTGCAAACTTTTATTTTATTTACTCTTAACTCTCTTCCACACTGGGGAGAAATCCTATGAGCTTATGCAATTCCTATAATTTACAACCCTTTTGAAGCGTCCACAAATATTTCAAAAACAGTATTTAGAGAGAATCCATGTAGATGATCATTTGATTAATGTCAAATGAAAGAAGTCTGTATCTTAGGATTTTCATATACTGAAGTTTGATAAAGAACAAATAAAGAGATAAAAGATGATGTTCATTTGCCCAGATTTAACAGTTTAGCAATTTTCTTCTACTGAATTTTTTCTAACAATATTCAATAATAACTAAGACTAAGAAACAATTGTGTTTCCTCAAAAATAAGACCCTGTCTTATATTTTTTTGAACCCTGAAATAAGCACTTTGCCTTATTTTTGTGGAGGTCTTATTATTTTGGGGTGCACGGAGCAAGATGGGGCTACTCTTGCCATCTTATCTGATTTCCAACTCTGCATTTAAATATTTTTGGGAAGGGCTTATTTTCAGGGGAAAGCTTATTTTAGCACATGTGCTCAAAAGCCCAATTGGGCTTATTATCTGGGGATGTCTTATTTTCGGGGAAACAGGGAAGCATACTGCAGTATATATGTAGATGATAGATAGATAGATAGATAGATAGATAGATAGATAGATAGATAGATAGATAGATAGATAGATAGATAGTCAGGCCTGGAAGCCATCTTTTTCATTGGATCTTTGGGCTGCCTCATTTACTACTGTGGGAAATTGGGAGGGTGGATTGTATGGAGTAAAGGTGATATGTATGTAGTCATAATAACATTCCTTTCTCAGAGAGTAAAGGACATCTTGCCCTGCACCTAGAAGGCTGGAACTGGGAGGCATCTCCAGTTGGGACAGTGTCTTGATTGGATCTTGTAATGGACTTGTGGGTGTTGGGCAGGGATTTGAACTTTTCTTTGGGTGGGGAAAACCTGGCAAATTTCAGATTCGGGTTTTCCCAGATGTGCGAATATTTCATCTCTAATAAAATGGAACTTTAAGGAAACTCAAGCCTCGGAGATTTCTTTCGTTGGAGGTGTTATTGGAACCCTGACAATAGATATACATATATACAGATATATAGATATAAGATGAAATACATATTTGAATAGAATACAGACACAGATATATAGATATATGCTGAAATACATATTTGAATGGAATAGATACAGATACAGATATATAGATATACTGTAAGCTGAAATACATATTTGAATGGATAGGACATCAGTCATCTATGACCAGAGGAGATTTTATACCATGTTTTCAATCATTAGCAGCAAATTGAGCAAGCAATTTTCTCATATTTCTGAATATTTCATCCATTCCCTAACCTAGTGCAACCTAATAACCATCAACTTCTCATCATGCCATCAACCTTACATTCATGTGTTGGGTAAAGAATACTAAATCTGAGTAGTGTGTTGCACGAACGTCTTGAAGGTAAAAACCAAAATAAGAGCAATTGGTTAGACTTCTCCCATGTAAGCATTTGAATTCACTATGCTCCATGGCTTCGGTTGTCCAAGTCAAAAGTCTTTACAAGACCCACAATTTCAAAATCATGGATGGATAGATAGATAGTTAGATAGCCACCATCAATGATTTAGAATTTCAGACTTAGGAAA